TATGGAAAATTATTGTTTGATGAGTGATATTTATATTCTTTTTTGAACTTTGTGTATATTTGAACATTTTCATAATAATAATTGTGGAGAATCACACGGGGAAACAAATTTTATTTTAAGTTTTTTTTCTTACAAGAACAACCAAAAAGTGTGCCAAACCTAAAGAAAAGCAGAAATGAAAGGTGAAATTTTCTTAGAGCTTTCTAGGCCTTCCTATATGTAGGTAGAAGAAAGCTGAGAAAGGAGGAAAAGGTAATTGAAAGAGTATGCTGTGCCAGAAACCAGAGAGAGCTTTGGGGATTAGCAAGTGATCAGCAATGTCCAGCAGCCTCTCTGCAAGATTGTAAGGACTGAATAAGATGGTGGTGTTCAGAAAGAATAGGTACCAGCAGCCCACTAATGTCAAAGCAACCTCTTTCCTCACTTCTTTCCCAAGGCACTGCTTTTCTCTGCAACACTGGGGAGTTTTGTCCTGGAGTATCGTATAGATACTCCCTCTTCATGTAGAGGGAGAACAAGAGTGACCTTAAACTAGGTCTGTTTGAGGTGAGAAAGTAAATTAAATGAGGCTTTTTGTAGTAAGAAAATGGAAACAGTAAGTTAAAGACCACAGGTTCCAAAATGTTGATTGTCATTAGAATGGAGGGGGATGTGCAGGAGTGGGGGAGAGGAGTGGGGGAGAGAGAAAGAGAGATTGAAAGAAAGATTATATGTTTGCAAGAAGAGGCCAGTATTAAAGGAAGGTGAGATATGAACATGTTGAAGGATAATGGCTAATTTCATAGAAAGAGATTACACCAAAACCGGGAGAGGATAAAGGAGTAGAATCCTCAAAGAGTCTAGGAGGAGTTAGATTCAGCAGGAAAGAGGAAATATTCTCTGCTTGGCACCCAGTGAGAACTTAATAATTACTAGTTATGTTATTCTATCTGTTCATTCAATAAATCCAAACTGAGCACCGGTAAAATCGGTAGCTATCCTAGGTGCTGATAAACCACCTCAAATCCCAGTGGAATGCAGTCTACTTGGTTAAATAGCAGAGATGGTGACTTAGATAGACCATCTGGTCTTACCCTGGAGGAGCATAGATTTTAGTGGAACAGATGAATTTCTAAACCATTGCACACAGACTGGTGAGTGGGATGCACCCACATGTAGAAAAGGTAGTGTCAACTCGGGTGCTGTAGTAGTGATTCATGGGGCTTGTGAGGGGGCAGTCATAGCCAGCAAGAGCTAGCATTTGAAAAGATTCTAGGCTCAAGAGAAATCCTTGGTAAAAAATATCTTTGAAAACTCCATGTTGTGTACATATGTGCATCTTTAAAGCAAACAAAAAACCTGCTTGAAGTGGCCATTGTACTTATTCCTCTATTTATTAAAGTGTATTATGGAATACAGTGAAATAACCTAAGATGGAAGAAAATCCTGAAGGCCAATTTATCTGGAGAATTAGGGTCCCCCTGGGCCTCCCTGGTGGCGCAGCGGTTGAGCGCTGGCTTGCGAAGCTGCCCGCAGCCTCTGCAGCGCCGGTTCGATCCCTGGCCGCCGGGCGAGGGTCCTGCATGGTGCACAGACCTCTCCTGCCGCCCGCTGCTCCCCTCAGCAGTGTATTTCGTCAGTCTGCCTGTTCTGTTCCCCGCTCTGGCTCTGGTGAATTCTCTCACCCTCCCATGCCTCTGACTGTGCCCAGTGCTTGTATAAATAAATAAATAAATCTTAAAAAAAAAAAAAAAGAATTAGGATCCTCCCTCAGTCTCTTCTCATAGTCTCCCTCTTCAGAAGTAATCTCATTACTATTTTGAGGAGAAGGGATAGAAGGGATTTGATATCAACACAGACTTATTCTAAATATGTCTGTATAAATGTATGTACATACATATATCAATATATCTCTAAAACCCAACGTGGCAGTGTATTTTCATACTACGCTGAATCTTTTTCTCCCACTATGTATTTTAGACATTACTTCATATCTCATACTGCAGGGTTCCATGATAAGATTATTTTTACAGTTTGGGTTCCCTGGTGAGCAGCTCTGAGATGGAGATAAGCTCTCAGATTTATTAGGGAGTCCTGTTAGCATCAACACTCAGGGAAAGGAAGGAAAGGAAGCAGTTTGGATTGAGGGAGAAGTTGAGCGGTGTGACAAATCTCCGTTGACCATGGGAGGAATTCTGAAGTTGAAATGATTCCTGGGAGCTGCTCTGAATTGGTGGGAAGGGGCCTGGGCTATTTATATCCTCAAATGGATCAGTCAATGACCGAGGGCCGTTCCATTGAAAGGGGACAAGAGCGTGAAGGAGCTGTGCCGTATACCTTGTCCTGTTTTAGCTTCATTCCTGCTGATAACTCTCCCCTCTCTATATCTTTTCTCCCCTCCCTCACATGTCACTGAGCCCACGTGTGTTAATTTTCTCCATAAGCACTGAAGTTCTCCTTCCCTTTGGGTAATGTGTTTTTGTAAAATCTTGATTAACCAGAATGATTGGAGGGTGAAGTTTTCTGGTAAATGGAATTTTGTGGTAAATGAACAGTCCACACCTCTGAGCCCCAGGATCACTTTTCATGTAATCTTGAGAGTTGCTGGTGGACCTAAATATCCACCAAAATAAAAATCTGTGAGGTGGCAATGCGTTGTGCTTCTCTTATTTCCAGATTAGGAAGTCATATTGTTTTTTTTGTCAATTACAAAAGCCCTTCCTCTTCAACAGTTTAAGTAGAAAAAACAGGAGCAAAGCAGTGGGAGGCAGGCACATATTTCATCAGCTTTTGCAATGAGTTGATTTACCGATCCAGACAAAGAGTGATTGTATTTTTGCTGTTGATGTGGAACACTTTTTGTTGCGTTCTTTGGTACCATTTTATGGAAATATTTTCTGAGTTACGATTTTTCTGAGACCACATCACAGCTCTGTTTCTTGCTCTATTTGTGTCTCATTTTTTCCTCCCTCCCTCCTGTCATGCTTGTGTTCTCTTTTCCCCCTGCCCCTCTGCTCGGAAAGTAGTGGTCATTTATGTCTTCTTGCCTTGGTCCTTATTTCACTGAAGTATGTGATTTATTGTTCTTCTATAATGTCTTACTTTTTTCTATCAAAACTTTCATTGTTCAAAATCAACAAAAAACTATGAACCAGAGACACTTTTTGGGGGGTGGGGGGCGGGAGGGGAGGGATTGGGGTCAGAATGGGGGGGTTGCAATTGTATGGGGAATATAAAAATAAAATTTATTATTTAAAAAAAAAACTTTCATTGTTTTAGCTAAGTTTGTAATCACTGTGCACTCAAGCTGATTGCATGAGTTTTTTCCATATGCGGTTTTTCTCTGTGTTAGTCCAAATTTCATGCTATCTTGTGTAGTTCTAGTATATTGCTTCCCTGTTCAGGTATCCCCTGATGAGACCATTATATCTCTTTACAATCGGACCCCCCTGAAGACTAGTGTGAAGCCTTGTAGTATCATTCCCTTATCAGACTCTGTAGTTGGTAAGTTCTGGTTAGGTATAGAATAATTTATCTGACATACTAGAATATGAATTTATGACTTCACTGGGCATCAGTATCATAATAATAGTGCCTATCCTTTGTGTATAGGGTTTTATTTTATTTTATTTATTTATTTTTTTTGTGGGACCCTCGCCTGCGGCCGGGGAACGAACCGGTGCTGCAGAGGCTGCGGGCAGCCTTGCAGCCCAGCGCTCATCCACTGGCCACCAGGGGAGGCCCTGTGTAGAGGGTTTTAGCATTTCAAAACTTTTTCTTTTTTTTCTTGGTATACCTTTGTGTAAGGCCTGTATCAAAACCCACATTGCATCTGTATCAGTTTGGTGTGTTGAACACCAAGTCCGCGCTATTACACAGCTAAGATAATGCTCATTTTTGTTTTATTACCAATCTCATCACTACTACCCTTCACCCTGCATTTATTAAAGATGTCCTCTATGGTAGACACTATGCTAAGCATCCTATGGCGGTAGTACTTACAGAGCTTAGAGATTAGTAGAGGAGACAGTTGAAAGAACCAGAAATAAGTGATGAGAGGTTGAGAAAAATGTAGGCACTGTCATCTCTTACCTGCAGTACTGTGCTCAGCCTCATTGGGTTTCAAACCCAGAGTTTTATCCCTCTCCATTGTATTGTAGGTAGAATGATCTTTCTGCAAAGAAAATTCAGATTTTAAGCACTTGGTCCATTTCCTGTTGCTGTCAGGCTGAACTCCAAATTCCTATAGATGGCTTACTGACCCCTTTATGATTTGGTGTTTGTGGGCTGGTGGTGGTTGTCTCAAATTCTGCCTTTGTCCTATGAATTACTGTCCTCCTATGCTTATCATCCAGAAAGAATTGAGGCCTTTTATCTCTTTTATCCCTGAACCTCTTCCTTGGTCAATTCCTATTCATTCTCATTCATCATTTTTCCCAAGAACTCTTCCTGGACCCATTGAAGTCTAGGTCCTGATACCCACTTCTGTGTCTCCATAGTCTGGAGGTAATTTGTATGTGCATGTACCCCATTGGATAGTTGACTTGTGTCTGTTTTACCTGCTATCATAATACTGGTATAGGCACAAATGAAAACTTGGGAATTTGGCTCTACATGCACACAACTTATTATGACATCAGAATTTAATTTGAAAGCTTTTAGTTTTAGTATTGGGATAGCGGTTTATAGTATTACTTCTAATAAAGTCATGCAGAGTGGAATTATTATATTTGAGATAATGGAATTGCATTTGACAGGCATATACAAAAAGCCAATGAGACATTAAACTTTTTAAACATTAATGTTTAAAAAATCTTAAAAAGTCCAACTTTTTTAAACATTCAAGTGATGATGCTGGAAGCAATATGTAAAGTAGCAGGATCTGTGTTTTTTTTTTTTTAACTAATGTTTCCTGAGCACCTGCCCTGTACTAAGCATTTTACTAGCTGCATTGCATGTGGTTTCTCTTAGTCTTTATGACAGCCTTCTGAAAAGAGTGTGATATTGTCCACCTTTTACAGATGGGGAAGCTGAGACCCAGAGGAAGATCTTTTCCAAGACTGCATAGAGGAGTGAGGATTTGAACACAGTTCTTCTGATTGTAAGTTCAGTGTTTCTTTCAATTTTTGTTGTTAACTGAAATGGTTTCATTTCTGTATATAACTGAAAAATAGGTAATAGGAAAAATTAGGTGAAGTAGAAAGATACATGAAATTAAAGTAACCAAAAATGATTAGCTTAATTTTTTCAAATCCCTAATACCTTTCCTCATTATGATTTGATTTTTCTGCCCTTAATAATGATTTAAAATTAATTTTTACAAATAACTCCTGATGAGAAGACAAAACCTCAGATCACAGGTTGCATAAGCCTTAGAATATAGAACTGATGTTTGATGACAAAACTTTGCAACCACTGCAGCATGAGTTTGACCCCAGGCCGCAGAGCTACCCACCTGGTACAGCAGACCTCTCCTGACTCGCCCGCTGCTCCCCTCAGCAGTGTATTTCAGTCAATCTGCCTGTTGTGTTCCCCACTGTGTCTCTGGTGAATCCTCTCACCCCGCCCCCCACACCTCTGGCCAGTACCCCAGTTCCTGTATGTATAAATAAATAGATCTTTAAATTTTTTTTTTTGTTTAGTGACCAATCTCTAAATATTATTGGAAGCCAACTTTGGATACAAGGATAAATGAAAATTGAATGTTCCTAGTATTCTTCTGTTTTAAGAAGCATCTAGTTTTAGAAACGTCTATTATAACTTTAAAATTTAAAAGTTAACATGTTCCCTTAATGTCTTAGCATGCAACATATGAATACGTTGCTCACAATATTTTGGAGAGTTGGTAAGGTAACTTTCTTCATTTTCTATTAAAGTTGGTACTATATCAGATTATTCTTTTGTTCTATTGAAGTATTTATATTAATGTTAATACTATATCAGATTGTTCATTTTCATTTGTTCACTTTTGCTTTGGACTTTTTTTTTTTAAAAAGATTTATTTATTTATTTATATAAGCACTGGGTACAGTCAGAAGCGCGGGAGGGCGAGAGAATTCACCAGAGCCAGAGCGGGGAGCAGAGCAGGCAGAAGGACCGAAGTACACTGTTGAGGGGAGCAGCGGGCGGCAGGAGAGGTCTGCGCGCCAGGTGGGACCCTCGCCGGGGGCTGGGGATCCAACCAGCGCTGTAGAGGCTGCGGGCAGCTTCGCAACCCAGCGCTCAACCGCTGCGCCACCGGGGAGGACCCTGCTTTGGATCTTTTACATTCAAATATTCCCTCCTCCTGGGCCTCCCCGGTGGCACAGCGGTTGAGCGCTGGGTTGCGAAGCTGCCCGCGGCCTCTGCGGCGCCGGTTCGATCCCCGGCTGCTCCCCGGCCACCAGAGGAGGGTCCCACATGGCGCGCAGACCTCTCCTGCTGCCCCGCCCGCTGCTCCCCTCAGCAGTGCACTTCGGTCCTTCTGCCTGCTCTGCTCCCCGCTCTGGCTCTGGTGAATTCTCTCACCCTCCCACGCTTCTGACTGTACCCAGTGCATGTATAAACAAAACAAACAAACAAACAAAATAAATAAATAAAACATGCCTCTATAAAAAAAAAATAAAAAGATTTAAAAAAAAAAAAATATTCCCTCCTCCACTCACCCCCCACCAGTGTATCCTGTTCAGTGATGTGTTTCATTTCCACTTAGTGAAACTTTTTTGGGTACATATTTAGTTTCCTTCATACAGTAGGTGATAATGTTGAAACAAAGAAAGGATTATTTGGTGCATGAGTAGCTGAATGATGGTGGTTACAAAGAGCATGTTCTGGATTATCACTGCCTTTTATTTTTCTTAAAAAACTCTCTTATGTGCCAATTTAGTGTGTCTTGGCTTATCTGTCATTATTCAGTTTAAAGGTATTCAAACGTTGATTCCTACCTCCTCCCTATTTAAATGGTTAGGATCTGGCTAATGTGCCCACTTTTTGCTTTAATTGCTTTTTGCTTTTTGCTTTAGAACTAGGTTTAATTGGTTGCCAATTTAATGGTAGTTTCAGTTCATCTTTCTTAGTGGTTTTGGTGGCTTTAGTAAAGTTTCACTTTTGTTTTATTAAATCTTTAAGAAATTAGAAAAATGTCTTGAGGTATTTTCATTTTTGTTGGAATGAGATTTTTTTTTCTGTATATATTCATTATTTATGTTCCAAAGCAATAATTTTAAAAGAGTACAATAAAATAAATGAAGGAAACTCATTTCACAGAAAAAGTTAATAAAATCTTAAATATATACACACAAATTGATATGTTTTCTGATGACGTAAGTTGTACCTTTATCATGTTGTGGACGATCATTTTCACTTGTTTTAAGACCTATTACTTGAGGTGCCTTGTCACTGCCAGAATTTTCTTTCCTTTTACATCAGCACAGGCACCTCTCCTGTCATGCCCGTATCCCTTTTTCCTGAATGTATATATTTGCATCTCTGTAAGCTTAGCAGTATGCATTGAATATGAGTCCTCAGCTATCTAGAGAAATGGTGTTTCCAAATCTCACCATATTGTGGTCCATGCTGTGAGTTCATTTAATTGAGAGAAATCTTCTCTGGGTGATGTAACTTAATACTGAATGTTGTCACCAGGGAAAAATGAACTCCTTCCAGATTCTCTTTCTGCGAAAATCATCATGTTGGATATGTTACTCAGCCAGGAACATGCTGTACCAAATTTATTAAAATTGGTTTAGTGCTTGATTTCATTCTTTAATATCAACTAGGAATACAGAAATACTTGTTAGTGTCCTGCTAGTATATGAAATGGTGAACGTGATACGTACAAAGTTTTACTAGTAGGAAATTAAATTGGAGTTTTTTCCTTAAAAGTATCTTTTCCTTGTAGCAAAAATATGAAGTTTTTTTTGGGGGGGAAATAAAGTGATGAAAGCCATGTGCTCTCTAAAAAAATAAAAGATAAAAATATAGGTTGTTTTCATATGTTTTTAGTATTTATTCCAAGTAAACATTCCAACACCATTCATAATTTTTTCACTTGCCTCATATTCTTTCCACAATGATTTTTAAAATAAATTTTAGTTTTAGTTTTTATGAATTGCTTAATGAGTACAGGCAGTGGTTTAAAGCAAATGTTTTTGCTAACGGCAGCTAGCCATATAGACCATGGCAACTAAATCAGTTTCTTTCACAGAAAGTAGCTATTCCTTTAAGTGTTTCTGAAAATTTCTTAGGATAGTTCACAGTTACATCCTCATCATTTCTTGTCACTTAAAAATCTTTGGCAGAAAAAATATTTACTATAGTGACCATTTCTTTTGATTGACCATATGTTAAGCGTATAGGTGATCCCCTATTATCTCATAAGATCTGGTAGAATTTTCTGTCTTCCATGGACTCTCTTTGATTGTTGTTCCACTCTCCATTTCTCTCCATACCTTCTCTGACCTAGTTTTTAAGTCTTTTTTTTTTTTTTTTAAAGATTTATTTATTTATTTATTTATTTATTTATTTATTTATTTATACAAGCACTGGGTACAGTCAGAAGCGCGGGAGGGTGAGAGAATTCACCAGAGTCAGAGCAGGGAGCAGAACAGGCAGAAGGACCGAAGTACACTGCTGAGGGGAGCAGTGGGCGGCAGGAGAGGTCTGCGCGCCATGTGGGACCCTCGTCTGGTGGCCGGGGAGCAGCCGGGGATCGAACCAGCGCTGCAGAGGCCGCGGGCAGCTTCGCAACCCAGCGCTCAACCGCTGCGCCACCGGGGAGACCCTAGTTTTTAAGTCTTGATCCACACAGTTAATAACCATTTCACCGGCTCGATCTTGATTTTGTCAGATCAAAAAATAATTCCTTCTATTTGTGTGCTATGTAAGAGGTGCACTCCAGCATGCACCGGTTCATTCGTGACTCACCTCAAATTTAAACCCCTTTTCAAGACGAAATTTTTATTGTGCAGAAATAAGTTTAAAGAGAAAATCTTTTCCCCTCAAGTTTCAGAGTTTACAACAAAAGACATGACCTTGAGACATAATAGGTTTGTAATAAATATGGTTGAATGAGTTTCTCACTGAACATAACTCTTTTTAATGGTTAGCACACTGTGAAACCACACCGAGTTTTTCCATTATTGATGGTTTGGAGGCTTAGCAAGATTTGGAGACCTCACCTGTCATTGGGAGTAAGACTGCAGGTTTTGAAATTGGACTGTGTGACCTTTGATCTGCGCTCCATTCCTTCACTCTTGACTTTGTGATTCTTTATGACTCAACTGTCTTTACTTGTGAAAGAGGAGTGATAACAGAACTGCTGGATTTGATACGAGGATAACTGAGATTTTAATTAGATTATATATAAAGTAAGGTTTTATATATTTATATATGTCACATGTTTTACATGATGTATACTATATATAGTGTTTAGAAGAATTCCTACTATTTAAGTTCAAGTTGAGTTTATAATAAAAATGTATAACATGGGTTGTGGAAGAAAATATTCTAATATCTGACACTATTCTTACAACATTTCCAGGTTTGAAAACACAATGGCGGGAAACAGCCTTGTCCTACCCATTGTTCTTTGGGGTCGCAAAGCACCGACACATTGCATCTCAGCAGTACTTTTAACAGATGACGGGTCCACAATTGTAACTGGATGTCACGATGGACAAATATGTCTCTGGGATCTTTCAGCAGAACTGGAAGTAAGTATTTGAAATGCCTATTGTACTTTTTAAATACAAGAAACTACATGATTGACTTCTGATGCTGATAACAGTTTACAAATATAACATCTACCCTAAATGGTTTACAATGTTTCACTGTAGACCTTTACCCACACTAAGGGAAGTTTTCAAAAAGAAACTAAAAACCAATTTTGAATATTCATAGTCTAAGGTGAATGTTTTAAAGAGAACAAAACTTTTTGTTGTGTGTACTTTAAAATTCACTATGGGGCCTCCCCGGTGGTGCAGCAGTTGAGCGCTGGGTTGCAAAGCTGCCCGCGGCCTCTGCGGCGCCGGTTCGATCCCCAGCTGCTCCCCGGCCACCGGAGGAGGGTCCCACATGGCGTACAGACCTCTCCTGCCGCCCGCTGCTCCCCTCAGCAGTGTACTTTGGTCCTTCTGCCTGCTCTGCTCCCTGCTCTGGCTCTGGTGAATTCTCTCACCTTCCCGCGCTTCTGACTGTACCCAGTGCATGTATAAACAAAACAAACAAACAAATAAATAAATAAAAAACATGCCTCTATTAAAAAAATAAATAAATAAATAAAAATAAAATTCACTATGTATTATTGTCATTCTTCACCTCAATGGGATTGTTCCATTGCTCTGCTCCTGGGCTTCTCAGTTAATAGGCTAGAAAAGGTAGGAGTTAGGTGCACACATGTGAACACTTGTGGACACACACACACATGCAGAGTTCACACTGACACCTCCAGTTCAAATATCACACTTCATGGCTTATTCTATTTTCTCTCTTTCCATATTCGTGACCTCCCTTTTCTGAAAACCCTCCCTGGGAACTTATCTGTAAAGAGAACAGAGAACATGGGGTGGTGGCTGGCATGTCCTCTCTGGTCAAGAAAGTTGACTGGTTAAGCAATTATTTATTAATTGAATGATGTATAATTCACAAGCCATATCATTCACTCATTAAAGTGTACAACTGAATGATTTTTATATGCAAGTTGTACCACCATTGCCAGAGCCAATTGTAGACCGTTTTCATTACCTCAGAACCAAACCCCACACTCTTCAGCCGTCACTCCCAACACCTCCTCCCCCCAGGCCATGACTAATCTATTTTCTGTATCTATACGTTTGCTATTCTGGACATTTTATATAAATGGAATCAATAGTGCATCTTAATTTAATCTAGCAAAAGAAATACATCTTTTAAAAGATATCAAGGGAGTTAAACTATTTACTCAGGGGAAAAGAAGGATAAAGAAAAGTCGGCTTGGTATTGTCTTTTGTGGTATATGGAGGCCTTTTCAGTATCATCCTTTCTAGTAGCGATTTATGCCTAAGAAGAAATGTAACATTCAGAGAGGAGGCACATGATGCTTTCTTTTGAAGTCTTGGTATCTTCCCATCCTTTTTTGCTAGCAGAGGATTCAAAGTAGTAGCTAGGACAGCCTGCTTATATCTATGAAAGTGTCTCCTTCTTCTTAATAGACTCATTGTGTTCTGGTTAAAAAACAATGACAAAAAAAAAAAAATGGTAGCTAAGACCTTTGCCACTTATATTGTTTTTTTCCATTTATCTGTGAAAAAGGTGTGGCCTGGTCTAACATGATAGCAGTAAAATGCAGGAGAGAAATTGCAAAAGTAGTATTTTTAGTGATTACCTAGATAAATTTGGGGACTGTTTGCCAGACTATTTGAGAATAGTGGGTATTAAGTTAACCTCCTGTAGGGCGCTGTATGACTTACTCATTAGTCTATGAAGGTCATTCTTAGTTCCTGACAGTTAACATTGATATCAACATGTGTGAGGGTTAACTCTCTATTTTTTATACTTGAGAATGTCCACCTAGAGACTCTAAATGTGATTTTCAGACCATTGAAGGTATTATTCAAAAAATAAGTGAGGTCAGATTATTTTATAAACTAATTCATTTTTTTTTTAAGATTTATTTATTCATGCATACAAGAACCAGGGTACAGGCCAGATGTGTGGGAGGGTGAGAGGATTCACCAGAGACAGAACGGGGAACAGAACAGGCAGACTGACTGCAATACACGACTGAGGGGAGCAGTGGGCACGTCAGGAGAGGTCTGTTGTGCCATATGGGTATCTCTCCGGCCGGCCAGGATCGAACCCACACTGCAGAGGCTGCGGACAGCTTCACAGCTCTGCGCTCAGCTGCCTGCACCACCAGGGAGACTCTAATTCATATTCTTAAACTAGTTTCTTATTTTACTGTGGCTTAGTGCTTAAGATTGCCCTTAATCCTGATTCCATCACTCACTCTGATATTGGGCAAGTAATGTCTGCCACCTCTTGATGATCCAATATTGAGCTCAGAACTACTTAGTAGTGTGATTGTAAGCATTAAATGGATGGGAGTCACTGTTTTGCTTTAGACTTGAGAAGTCATCCATATCTGTATATTTATAGTAAATTTATAATAGTTTCTAAAAATAGTAATTTTGAAAAATTTGCTCTTCACATCAACATATTTTTGTATTTCTAGGTTAATCCTCGAGCATTGTTGTTTGGCCACACAGCTTCAATCACTTGTTTGTCTAAGGCCTGTGCTTCTAGTGACAAGCAGTATATTGTCAGTGCCTCTGAAAGTGGGTAAGTATTATTCACTTTTCCCTCTCATAAGTACCAGTATATTAGTAAGTAGGGATTTTTTTTCCTTTTGGCATATGTTTTAAATAAATGCGTTAGTTGTGTCAACTGAAAGAGGGATATTTGAAATATGGTTTTTAAAATGTGAATTTTATCATTTTAAAGGATTTTTTATAATAGTTTTATTATAATTTATGATTATAGCTCTGCCTGGCTTTTGAGAAATTCATAATACTGTAAAAGTGAAAGCATGATCATTAACCCTCCTGCATTTTTATTGAATTGGCAGAAACTTTGAGAGCTTTAAAAAACCTGAGTGAATCTAGGCTAGCATAAATTTGGAAGATGAAGTCATGCAAAAGTTCAGAGTTATATTGATGTATGTTAACACACTGACATAGCCACATATGTTCCTAAATTTCAGTATAACTGGCTTTTGTTGAGAGAGATCGTTGGGCAGTAGTTGTAGGATCTAGAGTGTAAGGAATTTTTAAAACTATTTTTTGGGGTTTAGAAAATGGTTTATTTATATAATATGTTATTGAAGAGAATTAGGGAATTGAAGGAGAATTATTTAGGAACTTGCCTGCTCCATCGCTCATAAATTATAAACTTGAAAAGAATCTTGTAGAACTGTTTAGAATAAGAAGGGCAGCATCAGGTAAAAATATAGTACCTTTTGGTCCTTTAAATAGTAATCCCCATTAGAATGCATGTTTTATATAGGTTTATGATCTTTTCAAGAATTGTTTTATACCATGTGAAATATAGGACAGGGCATCCTGAAGAAAATCCTAATGATATCTGGATCATTACATTTTATTATTGTCTCCTATTAAATCTTTAGTTTGTATCTTTTTTTTAAAGATTTATTTATTTATACGTATAAGAACCGGGGTACAGGCCAGCGGCATGGGGGTGGGGGTTGAGGGGATTCACCAGAGACAGAGTGGGGAACAGAACAGGCAGATTGTCTAAAGTACACTGCTGAGGGGAGCAGCGGGCAACTCAGGAGAGGTTTGCTGCACCATGTGGGTTGCTCCCTGGCCAGGGATTGAACTCGTGCTACAGTGGCTGCGGATTGCTTCATAGGTTGCATCTTAACCCCTTGGACTACCAGGGAGGCCCTTAAGTTTATATCTTTAAAAGACAAGGTATATTGACATTTCTGATTTTCAGCTTTGTTCTTACCAAAGTTTCTTTTTGTTATGTACTCAAAACTTCTGCAATAAATATAGGAATGAAAATGGAGTGTTATATTTATTTAATTCGCAGAGGTTTAAAATTCAGTTGACTTTAATTTTCGTGTTTTGCTGTGCTAAATTTTCCAGTGATGTTGATAACCAGTGGAAAATCTCAGTAGTTTACATGAAAAATTTATTTCTTGGTTTTGTCACTTGCCTCCCATTTATCACTTGGGACTTTGCTCTTTTTGTTATTATGCTTACTTTAGGTAGAGGGTGATAGAGCAACCACTGCCTGAAGCAGATACTGTCTAGAATGTAGGCAGAGGAGAGAGTTCTGCAGGGCCTTACATCAGTTCTTACCAGAACTATTCATACAATTATCAATGAAAGGGAATCAGGAAGTGCAGCCCTATCCCGTGTTAGGAAGGAATGTGGATCAGAGTCAGGGTGGGGCAGGGTTAAGGTGAGGGTGGGATGGGAGGACCAGCATTTTTGATGACTAGCACTAACGATTATTTCCTTCTTTGTCTGAAATCAGTTTTAATGGATACTTAAGTTGACAAAGTTGAATTTAAGGCTGGCTGTTTTGTTTTACAGAGAGATGTGTCTTTGGGATGTGAATGATGGCCGATGTATTGAATTCACAAAACTAGCCTGCACGCATACCGGCATACAGGTTAGTATCTATTCGAGTAACTGACCAAGTCAGCACAAATTATTACAGAAAAATATATAATTTTTAAAATCTTTCTAAAACACTGACCCTATATAGTTATATGAAAAATGAATGGGGATGGGCAATAGGACAGAAAGACTAGAATTGTGGCAAAAGCAGTGAAAATCTCGCTTATAAGGTGGTAAAGTGGGAGGATAATAAAGTGGAGGACACTGATGGGGAAAGATGTAGGGCAAACCAGTTCTTCTGCTGCTTTATCTTTTTCTGGCTACCCTAGGTCCCCGAGTATGGTCCCCTTTACTACTGGGTTAAGTGAAGTGCTTTGTACCCCAAATAATGGAATTCACTCTTACTAAAGTCTCCATGCTTTCATTCATGATTGACACATATCCAATAAAAAGAATCACATCATATCCTTTTTATTGCTCATGACCTGGGTACATTTTTTGACTTTCTGACTTTGTAGAAGAAATGACCATTTCATCTGCTTGACTTAGGCAGGAATTTACGCAGCATTTTCCAGTTTCTGACAATATTCTTGGTATTTTTTTCTTACTCTTTCATAATTGTCAAGTTCTTTGTGCCTGAGTTCACTTATCACTTACTGTGTTGAGTGCTGGGCAAATTACTAAGAATATGGAAAATAATATTGATATTCTCAAGGGGGAAGGAATGGGAAGAGAAGTGAACTCACATTTATTGAGCAAATATTACGTAGGTAATTCTTGTCTAGTGTCTCCTTTCGTTTCCCCAGATCCTTCAAAATTAAGTAGGAGCATATCATTTTACATGTAAGGAACCTTAGACCCAGAGTGATTACTTGAGTTGCCCTAGTCTCACAGTGAGTCATTCCTGGCGCCAGGATCCCAAATCAGCTTTATTCAAAGCGAGGGACTGTGTTCCTTCTGTTACATGATACTACCCCTTTTAAAACAAACAAAATCATTTGCTTAGAAAGAAAGCCCTCTTTCCTAACACAGATTAGAAAAACAATGGAAAATGTTTTGGGGTGAGTCAGTGGTTAGTGAGACAATAGGTCTTTTCTTTTTTTAAAAGATTTATTTATATAAGAACTGGGGTACAGGTCAGAGGTGGGGAAGGGCAAGAGAATTCACCAGAGAGATGGGTTGCAGAACAGGCAGATGGACCAAAGACACTGCTGAAGGGGAGCAGCGGGTGAGGTGGGAGAGGTCTGCCACACCATGTGGGTTTCTCCCTGGCCGGCCGGGAATCGAACTCATGCTGCAGAGGCTGTGGACTGCTTCACAGAGTAGCGCTCAACCCGCTGCGCCACCGGGGAGGCCCGAGATAATAGGTCTTTAATGACAATTTCTTAAGCTGGCAAAGCTTCTTAAAAATTGCTCCTTTAATGCTGTTACAATATAAGGTTTTTATTTGAAAGGTGTATGTTGCTCAGTTTTTGATTATATGATGAATCATCAAGATTTGTAAGGGGAAAAAGGTAATGATATTCTTTAAATTCATTGCCTTTATAAGTTATTTTAATTAAAATTACTGAAATGTCTTTAATTCATTGGATATAAATGTTTTGACCATTGCATAATTTTATGATTTAAAAACTTTGGGTTTATATCTTGAGAAAAATTACATTTATTCAACATATTTTCTGGGCTTACAGTATATCAGATCCTGTGTTATGTCTTTGGCATCTGGATTGACAGCCCCCTCCAGTACAAGATGCTTTTTGACCAATTGGCTAGTATGTGCCAGTTGCTGGCTGTGTGGTCTGTGCCCTCTCGGGTTCAAAAGCAGGGTTTTTTTTTTAATATATGTATAGATAGAAATGATAAATCTTGGTGACATTGACACTGACTTCAGAAGGAAATATCAACTTGTTAAATTGTCAGAGAGGGGACATCCGTTTTTAAATATTAGGAAAACTTATTTCTCCATTCAGGCCAACTTGACCATGTCAAAGTGTCTCAGAAGCTCATTGAGTGTTTGGAAGGTTGTTTGGGATTTTACCTTTAAAGCACAAGAGAGGATGTAGGCAGGCAAGTCTAATGTAATACGCTGCCCTCGGAGGAGGCTCTCCTCCAGGGATTGGTGCACCGGTCTCTCCTGGCTGGAGTTGGATAGTCACAGTATATGTGGTGGTTCCTGGGGACTGTGTTGTGTTTTTGGAATCACCCTTCTGAGAGACAGAAGTGTACCCTGACAGGAGGCTGCATTACTAGAAGCCCTTCTCCCCCTTGGCGTTTTAGTGGTGCTGCCTTGCATTTAGCTAATGCATCCCATGATCAGTGTTTATGATTTAGAAGTTTTATTCCTTATGCGGTATACTCCATTGTTGGAAAAAAGATCATATTCCTTCATGTAGTGTTGAGCTCTAAGAACAGGAATCCTGAGTGTGGGGACAGCCTGGACGCAGGTTTCCTAGTTATCTCCTCACAGCACTGCCCTTTGTGCTTACCCAGCATGCCCTCACAAGAGTCGCATGGGGTCCATTCCCTCGGGGAGTTGTGGGCTAGATGCTACACGTCTTCATGGATTTCTAAAATCCCATAGGTGAATCAGTTCACTAAGAGAATCATTTTCTTGAGGCCAAGGGCAGACACGTCCTTTGATAAAGGTCTTGCTTTTGCTTTGATAGTTATTCTTCATTAGCTCTCTGGCCCAGAAACCCATTTTATCCTTTTGAGTGGTTCTTGGTATGAACACATGTAAATTATTATTGTGTAGGTTCTTCCTCTATTTTTCTTGCACAGATTATAATTGTATGCTATGAGAATGGTTTGCAAAGATGACTCATACCCTGATTTGAAATAACACATTCATTAATCAAAATTTACTTTTGATTATTATACACATGTATGTCAGTCAGCTTCTAAATTTTATTTGTTAATAACCAGTAATTACAAACCTTTACTCGCCTATTCATATTTGTATAAAATTCACATAGTTTTATGACCTGAGCTTTCCTTTTGCTTTGATTTATGAAACTAATACTGTTGAATTGTCATTCAACAGCCCTGTTTTAGATGATATAAAAGAATAAGAAAGAATTATCATGAATTCTCCTAAATAGTTCAGAACCATGGGTGTTAGAAAAAGAATATCTTTTCTTATATATTTTCAAATATTAATATAATGATATGTGTCTATGTGTGTATGTAGGCACAATATAATATTTACCACATAGTACATGTCTGAAAACATTAATAAATTGAACATTTAGAAGGATCTCATAATAAGTTTAGTGAATGCAGGTGAATCAAGTATGAAATTAAAAGAGAATACTTAAAAATCTTTCCTGTTTCAGTTCTACCAGTTCTCTGTTGGAAATCAGCGAGAAGGAAGGCTTTTATGCCATGGCCATTATCCTGAAATCCTCGTTGTGGATGCCACCAGCCTTGAGGTTTTATATTCTTTAGTTTCCAAGATCTCTCCTGACTGGATTAGCTCCATGAGCATTATTCGATCCAACCGAACACAAGGTCAGTGGGCAGTGCCTGTAGGAACTTCAGTGCCATGACTTAATGTTGATTTTACTAACATTACAGAGTTTTACTAACATTTTAATTAATGTTATAGAGTTCTATAATTTATCTTATGTTAATACATTTGGTTTTATTCTTCTATTAAGAAATAATGACTTTAATAATTGATGGTCTGACTCTACCTTCATGAAGAATTATTGATTGAATTAGGACTTTAAAAGGCTGTTGTCTTCATTCCATGGGACAGATTACTTGGTTTTGGCAATCTTAGAGTGGGGGGTGGTGGTGATTTTTCTAGGTAGAGGTAGAATATCTTAACCCCTTGGAGGTATGGTGGGAGGAACAGTAGTTTTCCCTGTGTATTTCTGATGCTTGGTTTTGTCACTTTATGTGAAGATAATGAAAAGGGAAATCACACACAGTTTAATTTAATGAAAGTTGATGCTATATAAACACTACTGTCTTCTCTTCATTTCCATTGAAACCTTTTAACAATAACTACGAGAACAAAAGTAAAATAGTTCAGCAAAAGAGCAATAATGAACGTTGAACATTGAATATATTCTTTTTTCTTTTTTTAAATTTTAACGTTTATCATTTTTTAACATTTTTTAGACAATATTTGCTTCCCCCCACCCCCTCAGATGAACATTGAATATATTCTTATAAACCATTTTAGGATCATTCTTTCGCTCCCAAGTGGCTTCATGGTTTTGTGCTCTTCTGTAAAGACTGACCTGTAACTAGCACCATGATGAGGATGTCATTTATGGAGTGTTCACAGTATCAGGCACCTTGCTACACATGTCCATATGTCATCAGTTCTCACATCACCCAGTGGAGTAGGCACTGTTGTTATCAGTTGTGTAGAAGAGGAGACTGATGAGGTTTAGGGTAGTGCCAGCTTTGCCAAGGTCATAGCAAGTCCGTGGCTGACCAATGGCCAGATGGATGGCAGAGTAGTTTCCTTAACCACTGCTTGACACAGCCTCCCCTTAGTGGACAGCAGTCAGTCTATGTAGCTTTCCTCTATAACCTCTTCAGGGTGGAAATCAGTGCATAGCTTTTTACTTAACAACCACCCATCAAATATTTGAGTGTGTATTATTCTCTAGGTACAGGTGATTGAAGTACTTAAGGGACTCAGATTCTAGTAAAGGAGAATGATATTAAACAAATGAGAGTCCAGGGTATAAAGAGTGACGAGGTTAAAAAAAAGTGCAGAGAGGCTGGAGTTAGCCAAGGCCATGAAGGGGCTTCAGGCTAAGCAGGGAGACTGCCCAGATCAGATGGAGTCTGCTAGGACTTGAAAGATGAGGAGGAATTTGTGACAAGTAGTTTGCACATTTTGAATTTTTATGTTCTTTCCATATATGACATTCATGTGCACACTAGTATGGACAGGATAGAACATGACTAATAGAGAATTTTGTGATCTGCATGAAATTCTAAATGTCATCCATTTATAACTTCGGTATTATATAAATTTTTTATTTGCATTTACATTATTCTAATCTGTGGATATTGGAGATTTTCAAGGAATGTTTATTGTAATCGACAGACTCATGAGAAGTTTTCACAGCTTCTCAATACAGGGATCGTGGAATTATAATCAGTAGCTTCCAGTGACTTATATTATCTAAGGAACTATCTTCAGTGGTTAAGATCTTTTACTTAGAGATGGCAAACAATTCTTGTTAACAATAATAGCTAATCTTTATTAATGTGAGGGTTGCTCTATCTGTGGTTTGTATTAATTTTTCATAACAACTTATTGAGGTGTAAATACTGTCATTACCCACTGATATTTGCTTATAGATATGCAAATTAATTTAAGACCAGTTAGTTAAGTGGCTCACATTTTCATTGGTTAATTAGGGAGAAAGACGTGATTTTAACCCCTGCCCCTCTCCTGCTTTCTAATGTTCTTCCTCTCAAAGTTCCCATTTGTTACTGTGGTGCTGTGACTTCTTTCTTATCCAAAGCTTATGAATTTAGGTTTATATCATCTTTCCCTTGATCACTGACTACGGAGGATATAATGTGCAGTTAAATGTCTAGATGGCAGGCAAATGTCTAGAAGGCGTGTGGACAAAGGGGAAGTGCTTGTGGTAAAGAAATAAGATGACCACTCATCTGTGACAAATAATTACCATGAACTTTGAAGTGTGAAAGTTTTTTGTTACCAGAGCAATCAAGAACATTTAAGGTTATTAGAAACGTGTTGATTAGAAATTGAAAAAAAAAAAAATAGATTCAAATAGCTAGAAGCATCTTTTCTTTGAATTCCAAACTCTTGGTCATTTCTATTAATTTGTGTTTCCAAATCAGTTTTTGGAAGTATCGAATGAAGTATAGCATAATTCTAATGAAGCATAGAATTAGGCTTTTATGCTAATTTGAAATATATTACCTAATTGTATTAAAGTGAACCATGTATACTACCTCCATAAACATAAATTTGAAAAAGTCAGTTTTGATTTAGTTGGAAAAAAACCCAACAAGGCAAACCATGTTTAGGAAACTAGCATATGAGGTTTGTAACTTTGGCTGCTTCTTCCTTGGCTTAGAGGACACTGTGGTGGCGCTCTCGGTGACTGGCATCCTGAAGGTGTGGATTGTCACCTCCGAGATCAGTGGCATGCAGGTGAGGCCGCTGAGACTGCAAATGACATTTCTTTTTTTCTTCTGGTGGAGTTTTACATTTCAGTAATGATGTGCTCCCTCCCTCCTTCCTTCCTTCCTTCCTTCCTTCCTTCCTTCCTTCCTTCCTTCCTTCCTTCCTTCCTTCCTTCCTTCCTTCCTTCCTTCCTTCCTCCTTCCTTCCTGCCTCCTCCCTTCCTTTCTTCCCATACAAGAACTGGGGTGTAGGCCAGAGGTTGGGGGGGCAGTTTGAGAGGATTCACCAGAGACAGCGTAGGGAGCAGAACAGGCGGATCGACTGAGATACACTGCTGAGGGGAGCAGCGGGTGCAACAGGAGAGGTCTGCTGTGCCAAGTGGGTAGCTCCCTGACTGGGAATCAAACTCATGCCACAGTGGCTAGTGATAGCTTGATAGTGCTGAGACTTTAACCCCCTGCACCACCAGGGAGGCCCTCTTTCAAGAGAAAGACCCCTTCCTTTTTTTTTCTTAAAAGGAAAAGAAAAACTATTCTTTTTCCATAGTCTTACTGACTTAGCACAGAAGATGCTCTAGAACAATATCTCTGTAAGTGAATTAGGCTTTTTATCTTTGATGGCGTATGTCTGCTCTGTCAGGGATATGAAATAGAGAAACTGCAAATAATATGAAATAGAAAAACATGGAAGAGATGGAATTTTCCTCAGTTACTTCTACTTAAGTTAACAGTTAAAGAGTAGTTTAACTGAGGGCAAAAAATCAAGCAAACCTCTACAAAAAGCATATAAAGCATTTTTAGGTTTCTTAGTTCTTGGGCTTCAATTCTTTGTTAGATTTTTATCAATTAGAAGGGGAGATCAATTTTTTTAAAACATTGGCACTTAATCTCTTCAGCTAGGGAATTTTGGGGCATTGAATTGGGAGAAACTGGAGGAATTGATTATTTTGTTTTAACCTAAAAGTGCCCATAGCTACAAAAATTGGGATTGACTCAGGCTTTTATCATATGTCCTGACCAGAGTGATAATGCTTTCACTCTTTGCAGTATTTTTATCCTGAGACCTTTGTAGCAAAAATGTTGTGTCCAGATGTTTTGAGGGTGTATTTTTGCTGCTTTTTACTACATTAGTTCTCATGCAGGGCCTGACATGAGGGATATATTAAGTGATGCCTTTAATAAAGTGATGCCTATAATAGAGTGATGCCTTTATTCCTTTTGTTTTCTCTATTATAATGTGACAATTTTAATTGAGAACCTAGTCATTTCTAAAGTTTTACAGATCTCTCTCTTTTCAGGATACTGAGCCAATATTTGAGGAGGAATCCAAACCAATTTATTGTCAGAATTGCCAAAGCATCTCTTTCTGTGCATTCACACAGCGGTCACTTTTGGTAGTGTGCTCCAAATATTGGAGGGTAAGATAACTTCCTAAAAAGCTGTGAAAAAAGGTATTTCTAATGCTTCAAGACTTTGTTTTATCAGTCATCCAAGGGTAATTGTGTGGAAGAGTTTGGTGCAAGACTTTGCTCATTTGGAATTCATGTCTGATTTGGATATGATATTTTGAAGTATTTGGTTTGACTATATAGAGTTATCTTTGTTTTTGTTTATAGAATGAGTCAGTTAATGACTAGTATTCTATTGATCTTAATTACCATCTTTTGTTACTATTTTAGTCAGTATCCTGTCCATACAACATGTGGTAGTGAATTTCTTGCAGAGTAGACATATCTTCATAGTTTATTTTTATTCCAAATTGTTGTTCTGTTGTAATGTGTTGGAGTCAGAGGGTTTTCCTCCATCACGTCAGCGCTGATGATGGAAGGAGTTAGACTATGAGACTTTAATTTTTCCATAATAGAAAAAGAGCCAGCATTTGGTGCATACTTGTGCCTAGCATATTTTCAAAGCTTTACATTTTTTTCTTTCACGCCTCATACTATCCGAGGCTAGGTATATGAGTTATCTAATCCTGCACAACAAAATTACTTTCAAACTTACAATTTAAAACAACAAACTTGGCTCATCAACCAGTGTCTGTGGGTCAGGAATCCAGATGTGGCTTAGCTGGATACTGCTGACTCAAGGTATCTCATGAGGCAACTGTGAAGGTGTTGGCAGAAGCGTGATCTCATCCCAAGACTCAACTGCGGAAAGATCTGCTTCCATGCTTACTCACGTGGCAGTTGGCAGGCCTCAGGTCTGGCTGTCTGTGGGCTGGAGACATTCGTTCCCTGCCATGTGAGCCTCTCCCTAGGGCAGCTCAGCACATGGGAACCATCTTTCCTCAGAGTAAGTGATCAAGAGAATTGGTAGCCAAGACCCATCTAATCTTAGAACTAAGATCTCATTTCACCTCTGCCACATTTGTTCTCTAAAAGTAATCACAAAATCCAGTCAACACTCAAGGGAGAGATTACACAAGGGTATGATTGCCAGGAGTCGTGATCAGCAATCCATCTTAGAGGCTGCTTAGCACCGTGGGAATTGTTACTTTCCCCATTTTGCAAATAAGTCAACTGGGACACAGGGAGACCAGTAACTCTACTAAGGTTATTCAAGTGGTATTGGAGTTCCTGGGTTTCCAGTCAAGTAGCCTGATGGAGACAGTTGCTGTCTGTCACCATGCTATGCTGCCTCAGAGCAGGAATGGATTGATTGGGGCAGTGCCATCTAACCTCGTTGCCATGGCTACTGTTTTGCAGTCAGATTAGAGAGAAAAGCTAGTGGCTGCTTGGTTATGTGGTGCTATGGAATCCTTGCTGTGTCTTAAAATGTAAAACATGTGCAAATGATAATAAAAGCAGTGCAAGAGGATACAGTGAAATGTACACACCCATTTAACCTGGTTTTTCTCTTCTGTTTCCCAGAGACTGCATCTAATGCTAGTTATCTTATACACTCATTTTAAGCATGTTGTACTCATGTGAGAACAACCTTTTCTTAGATGCACACATTAAGAGTGAAAAGGCATCCCACAGAATGAGAGAAGACAGGACAACCTGCACATGTGATGGAGAACTTGTCTGGTATTAATAAAAGACAACTGCATACAAGGAAGAAAAACAGATGCCCATAGGAGACAGATGTACATAGGAAAATGAACAAAGCATCTCCTAAAAGAGAAAAGCCAGATGGCCAGTAACTGTATAGAAAGATGTTTCTTTGCTAATCATCAGGGAAATGCATATTAAAACAACACAAGATAGTGCTATAACCCACCAGAGTGACCTAGTCAGATATTTATTGCCAAAAAGAAGTTTTCACTTTTAATATGGCTAAGTTATCATCTTTTATGATTTCTTAAACCTCTGATAGGTTCTAAAAGGCACACCAAAAAGTGATTAAAATTTTTTTCCTTAGTATTTATATGGTTTTACTTTGGATACCTCTAAATCTTTAATCTGGGATTCATTTTATATAAATTATGAGATGTACATTCCATTTTATTTTTAGTCCAGATGGCCCCCTCCCCCCCTTAGTTCCTGATGCCACTTATTGAATAATTCATTTTCCTACTGTTATGCTTTTATAATATACTATATTCCTATATTACTGCAATCTGTTTCTGGACTTAAAGATTCATCTGTGTTTATGTAAATTGGTACTGTATTGTTTTATTTTCTATAGCTTTGTAATTTGTTTTAATAGATAATAGGGCTGGATGGCTAGTTTCTTCTAATTATTCTTTCTTGCACTTGTCTTGACTCTTATTATCTTGCCTAGTGTGATATACTGATGAATATAATAGAAAATCTCGGTAAATTTGGCTAGGATTTGTTCTAATTTCAAAGCTCTGCACAAACAACTCCAGTGTTTTTTTCTTTAAAGAAAAATAAAATAAGAATTCTGGACCATTGAATACTCATTCTCCCAGGGAATCTTTTGTTTTGTTTTTTTAGCAACATAGAATATATTGTTATCAGATATTGAAAGTCGTAAGATAAATTCTGGTAGAAATGATAAAAACAGAGTTTGTCCTTACTGGATGTGACCTTGAGCAGGTGATGTAACCCTTACTTGTGGCAGTTTTCTGTCTGCCTGGGGTAGCAATTCTTTCCTGCCTGCCTCCTGCAGTGATTCAAAGGTCATGTGAGATAATGATTGTAAAGACACATTGTAAACTTCAATGCACCTTCCAAATGTGAGGTCAGTAACCTGTGTTGTTGATGAAATTTTAGGGATTTGATTTTTATATGTGAAAATTATTGAATAATGAAACAGTATTAACTTCCTATGGACAGTATTTTAGAACATTGATGAAATAAGGTAAAGTAAGATAATTCTCCCTATTAGTAAGGAGTTACTCTGATATTATAGTTGATTGTTAGAAATGTTACTAGACATAGAAATAAAACAAGAGTCTTAATCACACATTCTGGAACTTGGTTCCTTGTTACTTGTCATTCTTTGTAGGCTCACGTCTTTCTCTGGGTAAGAAAGGCAGGGACCCTCTCCTTGTGTAGGGGAGCACCCTGCTCCACTTATCCTGGTCTGCAGCCCCAAACACCAGGAGACTGCTCACAGCTGGGGGGCCCCCCTGTGTTTCCTCTAGTGAAATGGTCGCCTTCTGAGGTGCACTGGCAAGTGTTTTAAACTGAGATGTGTGTTAAATATATTTCCAGAAGTTTTGTTTTGTTTTAGTTAAAATGTGGCTTTATCTTAGTAAAATTACACCAGTATAGATTATGAATTTCTTGTTTCTTGTAGGTATTTGATGCTGGAGACTATTCCCTGTTGTGTTCAGGTCCTAGTGAAAATGGACAGACATGGACTGGAGGTGACTTTATATCAGCAGATAAAGTCATCATTTGGACTGAAAGCGGACAAAGCTATATTTACAAATTACCAGCCAGGTATTCAGTAAATACTAAGTAGGATTCTAATCTAAAGTAAAAGATTACGAATTTGGGGTAAAACCTGAAAGTATGAGTGAAATGTGTGAGATATATATATATATATATATATATATATATATATATAAAATTTAGGTAAAAAATTTCAGATCTGATTGTTAGATTTGCAATTTTATTTTTCTAACTACGAAAGTTAGTTGGATTTTTGCTTATTTGAAGCAGGATGTTTTAATAATATTAATTATTTTAAATTTCATGCCTACATTTGATTTAACTATAATTTAAAAAGCCACTTTTTTGGTCCACTGTCAAAAAAGCCCTCATCTTATGGTATTAAATATTTAATGTCATTATGTTTTTTTACTTAGTAAATATAGAATGAATTTTATTCAATTATTGAATGTGCCAATATCAGTATTTTAATTGAACTATGTGTATTTTCATTTCCAGTTGCCTTCCAGCTAGTGATTCTTTCCGCAGTGATGTGGGAAAAGCAGTTGAAAATTTAATTCCTCCTGTACAACACAAACTCTTGGATCGAACAGATAAAGAGGTAAAAACCTTCAGGTATCACTTATAATTGATAGTTTCATTGAAAAAAATTCCAGCTAAGTTTATTAGTGTCTTTTGATAACTTAGCATTTGAAATATTCAATACAATCCAAGGCATGTTAGATTTTGTAAACTATTTTGACATCGCCAGTTATAAGCCCAAATTTTAAAACATCTTAAAACATAGAGTTTACCTGTAATACAGCTTTCATCTTTTTCTAAGAATAAAAAATAACTTATGCTAATTCCATAGTGGAAATAACTGGTTCTTTAGAAAATTCCTATTGATGGTGTAAATTCATTTAACATTATTGTGCCATTATAGATACAGTGGCAAATGTCAGTGTAGAACAGCAAAGATAGTCATGTACTAATACTAGTAATAGTTTATTACTGGGACAAGGCATTGCAATAGCTCCCATAACCAGGTAGTGATTTAAATCATTAGACATTAGAAATGAAAAGTAAAAGTTTTTGCACTATAAAAACTACAATTATTAAGATGTCTGAAACCTACTTAGTATCATTTTAAAGTTGAACTGGAACAGCACTTACCACTGGATTTGCAACTTCTTTTAGCAGCCGGAAAAGGATATTGGTTTTGGAAATAAAATTTCCTCTGCTAATGTCCTGGATTTCCACAGCTTTACTGTCCTGAACATTTTGTCCCCATTCTCTATGTGGCAGGACTGTGAGGTAAAGAAAATATTTTTGTCCATGAGTGTTTTGACTATACTGAATTTATAATATTTTGTATAATTAAGATCCTTTGTAACTGTGCTAACTTATAAACCCTTGTTACTGCTCTTTGCTAGCAGTCACTTCCAGTTAAGTTGTGGGGTAGTGACTTATATTAAAAAATGTAGGGCCTCCCCGGTGGCGCAGCGGTAGAGCGCTGGGTTGCGAAGCTGCCCGCGGCCTCTGCAGTGCCGGTTCGATCCCCGGCTGCTCCCCGGCCACCGGAGGAGGGTCCCACATGGCGTGCAGACCTCTCCTGCTGCCCGCTGCTCCCCTCAGCAGTGTACTTCGGTCCTTCTGCCTGCTCTGCTCCCCGCTCTGGCTCTGGTGAATTCTCTCACCCTCCTGCGCTTCTGACTGTACCCAGTGCGTGTATAAACAAAACAAACAAACAAGCAAACAAATAAATAAAGAAAAACATGCCTCTATTAAAAAAAAAATGTATAAAACACATACATAAAATATTTATTTAAATATCCTCTCCCTGATAATTTTTAAATTGAAATATAGGTATTATGTGATGTAAAATACTCCATGTGTTAAAATACAGAATATTGGTTTTAACAGCTACCATTGCAACTTCTTGTTAAGTGTATTGTTTATCAGTTAAAAGGGTTAGTAATATTCAGACTTTATTAAAAGCTCAGATATTTGATTATGCTTAGTTTATATACTTTCCATAGCATAGTGCTTTTTAGGAAATAATACCAAATATGGTGATGAGGTGATTTGTTAGCTGTAATTGTCAAAACTGAAGTCTGTATGTTACCGCTTTTCAGGATAAGTTTCTATGTCTTAATATTTACATATTTGTAAATTAGTACTCTAAACTTGAAGTCCACCACCATTTAGTATTTTCAAATAAGTCACCGAAGGCACGCGATCTTAAGTTGAAAAAAAATTTATTTTAAAAATGAAAGTATACACAAAACCCAAATGAGTATTTTTTTTCCTAGTGATTATAGATAAGATGTCAGGCTAGATTAAAACTGATTATGTAAATATGACCAAGGAAAATGTTCTACCTAGTGAAAAATACACTAAATTAAAAACATGGAATCCTCTGTTTGCACAAGCTCCAAAGTTGAACTTGATGGTATTCTTCACAACTCATCAGGAATGGACAAAAAGCTAGGATTAGTGAGTTCTCCCTTTTGACCTTTTAAGTGGAGACTTCTCTTTTTTAGTAAAGAGTGGTTTATCTGCAAGGGGAGCACATGCTCCGGAGAGGTACTCTGCCAACCTGCCTATGTCTAGAACATTCAGAGAGTGCCATGATGGGGCCTTGACAAATGCCTGCACTCTGTTTTTAGCAAATACATTTATCTTTGTATTCATTATTTAATTACAGACTACTAAATGAATCACATTGTTGTGGTGAGTAATTAGTTTTTGATAGCAGAGAAAAAGCATATGAATACTAATCCTGGAGGAGGACTACACATAAATAATTTTCATATCTTTGAATGTTTGTGTTATACTGGATTTGACTATCAGTTGACAATTACATCATGCTACAAAATTGCTCTAAAATATTATTGAGCACTCATGCTATAAACACGTTTTTACTCTGGTACTGAGACAACATGCTGAAACATCTTTGAAAAAATGTTAATGTGTGAAATATTTATTTAAAAAGCTTGCTAAAGACATTTGAACAAAAAATTGTTTTTTCTGGCAGCTGCTGATTTGTCCTCCTGTTACCCGGTTTTTCTATGGAGGCAGGGAATACTCCCATAAGCTATTAATTCAGGGTGATTCTTCAGGAAGATTGAATATTTGGAACATATCAGACACACCTGATAAAAAGGAAGGTAAAGAAGGTAATAGAAAATCATATTTAGCAACTTTTAACTTAACAACCTAATTACTAACCACTGAGCAACAAATTTGCAATGTTTGTAATATACATTTTCTTCTTGGAATTATAGTTGATGACCATTACTCTTTGGCACATTGCTAAATCAGACATAGGCATGTTTACTGTGTGTAACTGTTGTTCTAACATGCACAAATGTTTTTCTTTTTCACAAAACAAAACCCCCACAGGATTGAGAATGACAATTTCGATTAGTTTGCAAGAAGCTTTTGACAAATTGAACCCTTGTCCTGCCGGAATTATAGATCAGCTAAGTGTGATCCCAAATAGTGATACACCCCTTAAAGTAACTGCAAGTGTGTACATCCCAGCACACGGGAGGCTGGTCTGTGGCCGTGAGGATGGGAGCATCATCATCGTGCCTGCCACCCAGACAGCCATCGTGCAGCTGCTGCAAGGGGAGCACATGCTCCGGAGAGGTACTCTGCCAACCTGCCTATGTCTAGAACATTCAGAGAGTGCCATGATGGGGCCTTGACAAATGCCTGCACTCTGTTTTTAGCAAATACATTGAATTGGCATAGTTATTAGTGTACTGAAGTTGGGAGAGTTTAATGTGCAGGTAATAAAATGCCTAGTAACTAATATAGGAATAAATACCACCTAAGGACTATAAATAAGGAAGTATCCTAGTTTATCTCTTTGATTTATGTTGATTACATTAGTTTTAGTTATGTCTATGGCTTATTAAACATTACTATATTATTAATAATACTGATAATCTTTTAGGCCAGTGTTGTCCAAGAGAAATAGATACATATAAATATAGCAACATGTGTAATTTCCTAATAGCCATATTGAAAGTGAAGCAGGTGAAATTTAATATAGTGTTATGTTTATTTCAACTTGTAATCAATATGCAAATAATTAATGAGCTATTTTACATTATTATTTTGTACCAGGTCTCTAAAATATCATGTATGTTTTGCACTTCTAGCACATATGAATCTTGACTAGCCACACTTCAAGTGTTCTATAATCCCATGTGACAGGCAGCACTTGCATTGGACAGAGCAGTTCTAGAAAATACAATAACATTTATAGCTAGTCTAATGATTCTTGTTTACTTTTGTTTGTTAAATCTTGGTAAGACTTTAATTTTCATGTTTTAAATCCATAACCGCATTCTCAGGCTGGCCACCTCACAGAACACTGCGTGGTCATCGGAACAAAGTCACGTGCCTGCTATATCCTCATCAGGTCTCGCCTCGTTATGATCAAAGATACCTGATCTCTGGAGGTGTGGATTTTTCGGTAATAATTTGGGACATATTTTCAGGAGAAATGAAGCATATCTTCTGCGTGCACGGTGGTGAGATTACTCAGCTGCTCGTCCCACCTGAAAACTGTAGTGTAAGTTGATTCACAGCATTTTCTGGTTTCTTTTAAAACATTTAGAGTGAGTAATATCATAAAATGTTTTTGACCAGTTGAATTTAAAGATAACTTTGTAGTGAGTGAAAGCTAACAGAGACATAAGACGCACAAGCCACTGAACCGCGAATGGGGCTCCTTTGTAGACCCGGGGCAGGACTGAGGTGCCCCATAGCTCAAGGACATGAGAGAGAGACATGCACAAGGCAGTCTGGTAGTCAGAAAATAACATAAAACTTGTAATTTACTTATTATAGGCTTAATAATCTTTTCTTGTGTTTAGTTGACATTCAAAAGCACTGATGAAAACAGTTTTAGCTTTGTGATAATTTAACAAATAAGTTGACTGCCTAGTTAATAACTGGTTCACTTAGCCAGTAGTTTCTACTTCTAAGAATTTGGTATTTGCTAATGACTGCTTTGCTGATTAGACATCATATATTGGTTCTACTGCTTAAGTTGTTCCTCCCCAGTGTCATTTCCTTTTAGCAGGAAATACTTTTATTTTATCAGCTACTTGAAGGATTATAAATATTTACCAAACACAGCATGGAGATAAATACTGAAAAGTTTCTCTTTTGCTCTTATTGATTGGAATTTTAGTTTTTATTTTAGGTAGATTCAAAAAGAAGTCAAGTCCTGACATTTTGTAATTTTTTTTTTTTAAGGAAAAGGTGTTCTAAGACAGAAATGTTGGTTGTATCTTTAAAATTACCAGGATGAATGTCACGTACTTACTCTCCTATAGTCTAGGTGTTTCTTTGTCATCTTTTCTTTCCTCACTCTTTCGAAAAATTTTCAAAGTAAATTATTTAATAACAATATATGTGTTTCTTTGCATGAGCATATAGGTTCATTATAGATTAGTAAAAAATTTAATTACTTCTCATTTATGGCATTTTATTAAGCTTTTAATGTCACATAATCCCCCAAAAGTATCCAGAAGGGGGCAGCATGAGTTTGTGAAACAGGAATGTCAGGTTTCAACTCTTTATACTAGAGTTTGTGCCTTCATTTGACAATATCCCTGGCTTTCAGAGACAGAGACGGGACAATGTGAATGGTATATAGGACTATGTGTGTGCTGGTGTGGCCCATGCTCATGGCTGGTAAGAGCCATTATTACATTAGTTTTTCTTTTTAATATATTGTTCTCTCATTCTGCAAAAATACCTACAGCTTTTGCTGAATTAGCTCTGATCACACTGTTTGGAATTTGTACTTTCGTTATTAATTAAATTTGACTATTATCATTTAGAAAGCAATGTCTATAACATAATCACTGAAGCCATCAGAGTAAACTCTGGTAATACAAATTAAGTAAAGGCAGGAAGCAGAGCTAACATTTTTCTAAAATATATTATAATGTAGGCAATATCCTTTTTACCCATAACACTTCCTTTGATTTTTGAGACCATTTTCATACATTCAGTGCCCTCTATTTGAAGTTAATTTTAATGTTTACAAGTGAAATGACACTGTGTTATAGAACATACAGATTTTTCTAGAGAGGATCTGGTCATCTTTCTATGTCACTCAGCATATTCCGAAGCCATTTTAAATGACTGCAATTTATTAAATTCGGTCAGGAATTTTAGAATGCTTAATTTAAAATTATTTTTCTTATCAACAGGGTGTGTGAAAATTAGTATAGCAAAATATTTTTTGCATATCTGCAATAGTTTTCAGCTGTTCGAGAGCCCAAGCAGTTTCATGTCTTCTGGAAATCTGTGGGTGATTACAGAAGGATATGACTACCACCTTTGCAAAAACCTGTGGTAGCATGACTCCAGATGGTCAAGGGGGAAGTTTGACCCTATTTATTGCTTTTCTTAGAGTGTAAATTATGGACAACTTTCTTCCCTAATTGTGGACACTGAAGACTAGGTTTCTCTGTGTTCTGTGATACGGGCTTAGAAAGCAAGCCAATGCCCTTACTAAACAAAAAAGGGTACTTTTAGCATGTGTGTTCTATTCATTTACTGTTAGGGAAGAAATACACAGATTCTTTCAGTATCTTCAGTTAGAAAAATGGAGACAGTAACTATTAGCCCATTTGTTTTCATGTGAAAGCAAGAAAAGACACTCCATGGTTATGTCAGAGGTATGTAAATTCAGTGATTATTTCTTGTAAGGACACAGGTATGATCAGGATAAATAGGTTGAGGCCACGTGGCAGCTTCAGAGTTACTAACTAGATCAGATGGACGGTGCCGCTCAGGTTGAATGGATGTAGTGAGAAAGTGGAAGGCCAGGCCCACAGCCATCTGGGGTCCTAAGACAGTACATGCTGATAAGTGAGGACCTTAGTTACAGGAGATGCCAGTGCTTGCACATGTGCAGCCCAAGACTTGGGTGTGGGGTTGGGCAATAACTGGGGACAGCTGGCTGGCATCCAGAGAGGAGAAAGGGCAAAGCTTTTGAGTTCCTTAAGAAAACCTTAGAACATTTTCAGAATCTGCAGATTTGATTAACTCATTTTCTAAAACTCAAAAATTTCTAAGTGAAATTAAAGGAAGAATTTTAATGTTTTAAAGGTACAAAGTAAAATGTTGTAAAGTAGATTCAATGGAAAAGCAGTGTGAGAAATAACCCAGGAACAGTGGAAGGTGGTGTTTGGGTTGTTGGCTTCAGGACTGTCAGTGACTCAAGTTAAAAGTGCTACAAACTTCATTACTGTAACTTTAAGGCATATTGATTTTTGTGGATAAGCGTGCAGATGGAACTATTCAGATTAAAGCAGAATTTTTTTTTAAATTTATTTTCTAACATCGTTGTTCATTTTTGTACAGTAATTGGTTTCTTCCCTCAGATGTAGACCCTGTAATTATCCCGCCACCGCAGCACTCGTGAACCATCACCATTTGACTTGTGCTCCTCCCTTCCCTGTTTTCATACTCCTTCTTCTCCCTCCCTTACTGTATGCCTCAGATCTATGGTCAGCTTGCGAGCTTTGTCTTTTTCTTGACCTTTTATTCAGTTTCTCTATATCCCACATATTAGTGAAACCATCGATATTTATCTTTTTTCTTCTGACTTACGTTGCTTAGCATAATCCCTTCCAGCTCCACCCTTGTTGATGCAAATGGCATGAGTTTATCTTTTTGGATTATACAGCAGAGGTATTAATATGAGAAGAAAATCGTAAAAAGGGGACCCTACTTGAAGAATTATGTCTTCATATTTCCTGGTAGATACCGAAAAACTGGCAACTCCTTCAGAGAATAAATAATCATTATATTTTAAAAGGATTTATAATATATAATCACATATGAATGATGGCAAAGATAGTATTAGCTGCTATCTTTTGTATGCATGATATGTTAGTCACTGTGCTAATTTCTTTGTGTACCTTATTATTTCATTTAATTCACACAGTAATTTTGTGAGGTGTGGTTGTTGCTTTTATGTATTTATTACATTATATAGCAAAATGAGGCTCAGAGTGGTTAAATAATTTGCCCAAGCCACTCATTCTGATAGTGCTCGAAAATGGTCTTAGGTAGTGCAATTGATAACCTGTACTTATCAGCCATGCCTTCCTCCTATTAGATGTAACAATCTATTTTAAAATAATTGCATTTCTCCAATTTTTGACTATATTTTTCATTATTGATTTACATAATTAATGATTTTGATACATCCTTAAGAATTCAATAGCAATTTAAAGTTATTTTTCTTTGTTGAATGAAACACTCATTCTTTCAGGTTCCTGTATTTCAAATTTTTCTTTAGAGAACTATGCATTGCTTAATTATCTTATCGTTGATCTTTCAATTTTTTTGTCTTTGATTATACCACTTGCAGTTTTTGGTTTTAGGTCCCTTTTACCTTTTCTTTGTGGTTACACATTGTTTTAATTGCAATTTTGTAAATTTAACATGTACACACTTAAAATTTTTGAAAGTAGAATAGCTGAGAAATTAAAAGGTCTCCTGTTATTCTCTACATATAAGAGAATCAAAACATTTTAATTTTTTTAGACCTAAAATTTTTTAATTCAAAATTAGTTTATAATATATAGGTTTCAAGTGTCCAGCATTGTAAATCAACATGTGTATATCCTAAACAAATCCACTTCCTGTACTTGTGATTATATTTATATACATCTTGTTACTTGTATCATTATATCTTCATTTTATACTATAACATACTTTTGCAAATTATACTTATTTATAAAGTAATTTTTAATGATTGTGTGACATTATGTGAGCATACCATGTTGACTTAGCAATTCTCCTATTTTAGATATATAGATTTTTCCCCTATTTGAACTTTGTAAATAATACATAGTGACTATCTTCATTTAAAAATTTGTTGAATTTATAAATTGGACAGATTTCATGAATATTTTTATATGAAAACATAAGAATTTTTGTGTGATAGATTATCAACATTTTTAAGGCTACTGAGGCATATCATCAAATTATTTTCTATTCTCAGTGCTTATTTCATTGCCCCTTGCCAGCATAAGATGTTTTCATTTCTTTCCATGCCTTGGTTTCCACATCTGTAAAATGGAAACACTAATAGTACCTATGTCACAGAGTTGTTGTGAGAGTCTAATGAATTTCTGATTTAGGATAATACCTAGCACAAAGTACAAATCCAGTAAGTGTTGGTTGTTTGCAAAATCGTCAGCTAATTGATAGGTAAAAAGAGTATTTTATGTTTGAATTTGTATTTTTTTTACTTCAAGAGAGATTGAAATTCTTCTGAGAATTCTAGTGATTTTTTTTTTCATTTGAGTGTTTTGTTGGTTTTTTTTGTCTTTTGGTCATTTGTGCTTGCAGGAGCACTTAATTGAAATATTAAAATTATGTGCTTTCCATGGTGGTTGTTGAGATCTTCTTGTTTATTATTTACTTTTGCATTTTTAAACACAGATAATTTCATTTCTTATGTAATCTAATTTATCTTTTTCTTAAATAGCTTTGTTTATATTTTTGAATGCTGGGATCTTCCTCCACCCAGAAGTT